TCCCTCCTTCCTACTGCTCCTCCTCGCCTCGTATTCATCCTGTTCACCCTCCTCTGAGTTGCTCCTTCGCATCTGCTCTCCTCCGTGTCTCCTCCTTCCTCCTGCCCCCCTCCGTTTCTCACCCCCTCGTACTCCTCCTGTTCACCCTCCTCTGAGTTCCCCTGCCCCTCGACCTCCTCCTCCCACCTCGGGGCACCTCATCCGAAGACGCCCGAGGGAGCCCTTGAGGGCCCGGGGAGGGCTCCAACGAGCCCCACACGTGAGCCAGGCATTCCGTTTTGAAAAAATGCTCAAACTGCATCCCTCCTCCACCTCGTCCTCATCCTGGTTTACACCCTGAAACCTCTTCGCGTGCTCCTCGGACCAACTCTCGATGGCCTCCGAGCTCATGGCGGTGAACTTGTCTCTGGCCACCGCCTCCAGCGCTCTCTTGGTCGGCTCCTGGTTGAAGCTCAGGTTGGGGCTCAGCGATTCCAAGTCCTTCAGCAGGTCTGCGTTGTCTAGAATGGTCTGCTGACACCTCTCGCAGAACCTGGTCGCGTATACATGTATATATATATATATACAAGTGCACGTGTGCGCCCAGGCCCTTCTTTTAAACAATAAAAAACACAGAGGGTTGTTTGAAGCAGGAGTGAAATTCATCAGCGGAGTCGCACTCGAGCGGAAGTGGGGTTGCCACGCCCTGCGACGCGTGTACCAGGGCTTCCAGGAAGCCCAAGGAGGTCCGACATGGATGCCAGCAGAGGCTCCAAGAGGCCCCAGGATTGTGAGTGTTGTGTGGGTGTATGTGCGGGTGTAATATATGGTATGTGGTGTGCGTGCTTGTTGTGCGCTGTGGGTGTTGTATGTGTTATGCTTGTTTAGCGTGTGCTGTGTGCGCATGTAGTTCTGAGGCCCCAGGAGGCCCCAGGAGGCCTCGCGCGGCATCAGGAGGCACCAGGAGGCCACAGGAGGCTCCAGGAGGCCCCAAGAGGCCACATGAGGCCGCAGGAGGCCCCAGGAGGTCTCAGGGGGCCCCCAGGAGGCTCCGAGGCGGGGCCTCGGGTACCAGGATGTTCAGAAAGCACCTGGAGGCCCCAGGAGGTTCCAGGAGGAGGCGGGGTCTGGGGTACCAGAGGGCACGTCGGGGCTCGATGGTGGGACGATGTTTCAAGCGAAACCGCCATTCGCTGAGAGTCGGGGTCAACAGGATTGAGATTATCATTTAGTGTTGCAGGTTCTATGTGAACGCGTTCAACTTCCCATGTGTTTTTTTTTGTTTTGACATTGACGTCGCAATCTGCGCGAGGGGCGCCGCCGATTTCCAGAATGTCTAGGATGCCCCTAGCGAAACGGCCAGAAATATCGCGGGCGCGGCGCCCCGCGCACGCATTAATCGCCTCTGAGATCGGTCGAGAGGTGCGCATGAGAATATATATATATATATATATATATATGTATATATACATATACACATATGCAAACGTTGTGAAAGAGAGAGAGAGAGAGAGAGAAAGAAAGAGAGAGAGAGAGAGAGAGAGAGAAAGAGAAAGAGAGAGAGAGAGAGGCCATACACATATACATACATATATATATATATATATGCATGGTTTCTCGCGTTCTCTCTCTCTCTCTCTCTCTCTCTCTCTCTCTCTCTCTTTCTATCTCCCGTTCGCATCGTCGTTTTACTTAAACTTGTAGTTCAAGTATATGCCCACGGAACTTGTCCGAGCCCGGCTTCGTGCCGTACTTAATCCACGACGGTTTGGACACGTGCCGACTCAAGACCTCTCGCAGCTGGTCGGTGTCCCCGAACCTCTGCCTGCTGCCGCCCCCGCTCTTCTCGGACCCGAGCGAGTCCGCCATATGCGGCCAGCGCGGGCCAGCGGGGCTCCTCGCGCCCTCAGCCAGAACAAGCGGCCAACGGGAGGGCGGGGGAGCGGGCGGACTCGGCACGGGGCAAAAGGGAAGAGGGCGAGGGAGCGGGGATCTCAACGCCCCCGTCCTGTTTTTTTTTCCCCCTGGTTTCTTAATTGTCATCGAGCCCTCTCGGGGCCTCGTTCCTTCGGCGGCAAACTTCCCAAACTTCAGAAAAGACAGTGTGCCGAGCCCGAGACGCAGCGCTACTATACTACTACTACTACTACTACTACTATACTACTACTACTACTACTACTACTACTACTACTACTACTACTACTACTACTACTACTACTACTACTACTACTACTACTACTACTACTACTACTACTACTACTATTACTACTACTACTACTACTACTACTACTGCTACTATACTGCTACTACTACTTCTACTACTACTACTACTACTACTACTACTATTACTACTACTACTACTACTACTACTACTACTACTACTACTACGATACTACTACTATTACTACGACTACTACTACTACTACTACTACTGCTGCTACTACTACTACTACTACTACTACTACTACTGCTACTGCTACTGCTACTGCTACTGCTACTACTACTACTACTACTACTACTACTACTACTACTAGTACTAATACTACTACTACTACTACTTCATGTTTTTGCTAGTGCTACTACTACTGCTACTACTAATAATACTGGTAATGATAATACTCGGGCGAGTGAATCACCAGCGTGCACATCGTGCGTGCATATGCACTATATGACATTTGTATATATATATATATACACATGCACATACATATAGGATTGTGCATACACACGCATGTCATCACTGTGCAATATACACTATACATTATGCATACACGATGAGGGTGTTATAATGTTGTGATTATGATGATGCCATGATGCTTATTTTATGATGATGGCGCGCCAGCTATTTTTAACGATCTCTATTATTTTTAAGCGGCAGCAGCTAGTTTAAGCGACACAACTGTTTTAAGGGGCCACCTGTATAATAGCAAGGCGAGCTCCTCAGGGGAAGCATCCCAAGATGCCGGTTTTCTTTTGGATTTCGTATGGAAGCAATCCAAGACCCTGGTTTTCTTTTGGATTTCCTACGGAAGCAATCCAAGATCCCGGTTTTCTGTTGGAATTCCTATGGAGGCAATCCAAGATCCCAGTTTTCCTTTGGATTGATTTCCTATGGAAGCATCCCAAGATCCCGGTTTTCTTTTGGAATTCCTATGGAAGCAATCCAAGATGTTGTTTTTTCCTTTGGATTTCCAATCGAAGCTCCCCAAGATCCCGGTTTTCCTTTGGAATTCCTACGGAGGCAATCCAAGATCCCAGTTTACCTTTGGATTTCCTATGGAAGCATCCCAAGATCCCGGTTTTCTTTTGGATTTCCTATGGAAGCATTCCAAGATCCCGGTTTTCTTTTGGATTTCCTATGGAAGCATTCCAAGATCCCGGTTTTCTTTTGGATTTCTTATGGAAGCAGTCCAAGATCCCGGTTTTCCTTTGGTTTTCCTGTGGGAGCACCCGAAGATCCCGGTTCTTTGTGGATCTCCTATGGAAGCAATCCAAGATCCTGGCTTTCCTTTGGATTTCCGATGGAAGCACCCCAAAATCCAGGTTTTCTTGTGGATTTCCCATGGAAGCACCCCAAGATCCCGGTTTTCTTTTGGATTTCCAATGGAAGCACCCCAAGATGCCGGTTTGCTTTTGGATTTCCTATGGAAGCAATCCAAGATCCTGGTTTTCTTTTGGATTTCCCATGGAAGCAATCCAAGATCCCGGTTTTCCTTTGGATTCTTTTGGATGCAATCAAAGATCTTTGTTTTCTTTTGGATTTCCTATGGAAGCACCCCAAGATCCCGGTTTCCTTTTGGATTTCCTATGGAAGCACCCCAAGATCCCGGTTTGCTTTTGGATTTCCTATGGAAGCAATCCCAGATCCCAGTTTTCCTGTGGATTCCGATGGAAACACCCCAAGATCCCGGTTTTCCTTTGGATTTCCCATGGAAGCAGCCCAAGATCCCGGTTTCCCTTTGGATTTCCTACGGAAGCAATCCAAAATCCTGGTTTTCCTTTGGATATTCTACGGAAGCACCCCAAGATCCCGGTTTTCCTTTGGATTCCTTGTGGAAGCAGCCCAATATAGCGGTTTTCCTTTTTGGATTTCTTATGGAAGTTGTCCAAGATCCCAGTTTTCCGTTGGATTTCTTCAGGAGACAATCCAAGATCCCGGTTTTCTTTTGGATTTCCCATGGAAGGAGCCCGCGATTCCAGTTTTCGTTTTGGATTTCTTAGGAAGCAATCCAAGATCCCGGTTCTCTTTTGGATTTCCTATGGAAGTTGTTCAAGATTCCGGTTTTCCGTTGGATTCCTTAAGGAACCAATCCAAGATCCCAGCTTTTCTTTGGAATTCGTATGGCAGCAGCCCAAGATCCAGTTTTTTTCATTTATAAGCAATCCAAGATCCCGGTTCTCCTTTGGATTTCTTATGGAAGTTGTCCAAGATCCCGGTTTTCCTTTGGATTTCCTAAGGAACCAATCCAATATCCCGGTTTTCCTTTGGATTTCCAATGGAAGCACCCCAAGATCTTGGTTTTCTTTTGGATTTCCTATGGAAGCACCCCAAGTCCTGGTATTCCTTTCTGGATTTCCTGTGGAGGCATTCCAAGATCCCAGTTTTCCTTCCTGGGTTTTTTCGTGAAACCAGTCCAATATCCCGGTTTTCCTTTTGATTTCTTATGGCAGCCCTCCAAGATCCCGGTTGTCCTTTGCATTTCCTAAGCAAGATCTTGGTTTTCCTTTGGATTTCTTAAGGAACCAATCCAAGATCCCGGTTGTCTTTTGGATTTTTATGAAACCAAACCAAGATCCCGGTTTTCCTTGGGGTTTCTTATAGAAGCACCCCAAGATCCCGGTTTTCATTTGGATTTTCTAAGGAAGCACTCCAAGATCCCGGTTTTCCTTTTGGATTTTTTAGGGAAGCAGCCTAAGATCCCGGTGTTCCTTCGGATTTTTTTGGAAGCAATCCAAGGTTCTTGTTTTCCCTTGGATTCCCCATGGAAGCAGCCCAAGATCCCGGTTTGCCTTTGGGCTTCATGGATTTCCTAAGGAAGAAATCCAAGATCCCGGCCGGTTGTCCTTTGGATTTGTCATGAAATTAATCCAAGATCCCGGTTTTCATTTGGATTCCCTATGGGATCAGTCCAAGATCCCGGTATTCATATGGATATCCGAAGGAACAATTCCAAGATTCCGGTTTTCTTTTGGATTCTTATGGATGCAATCAAAGATCTTTGTTTTCTTTTGGATGTCCTATGGAAGCAGCCCAACATCCGGGTTTTCTTTGGATTTTTTTATGAAACCAATCCAAGATCCCGGTTTTCTTTCGGATTTCCTATGGGGCCAGTCCAGGATCCCGGTTTTCCTTTGGATTTCCTGAGGAAGCACTCCAAGATCCCGGTTTTCTTTTTGATTTTTTATTGTACCAATCCAAGATCACCTTCGTCTCTCGTTTTATGAAACCAGTCCGAGATCCCAGTTTTCCTTCGGGCTTCCTATGGAAGCACCCCAAGATCCCGATTTTTCTTTGGATTTCCTATGGAAGCACCCCAAGATCCCGGTTTTCCTTTGGATTTCCTAGGGAAGCAGCCCAATATCCGGGTTTTCCTTTGGATTTCCGATGGAACCAATCCAAGATCCCGGTTTTCTTTTGGATTTTCTATGGAACCAATCCAAGATTCCGGTTTTCTTGTGGATTTCTTATGGGAGCACTCCAAGATCCCGTTTTTTTTGTATTATTTTTTTTTTGTTTTGATTTCTTATGGGACCAGTCCAAAATCAAGGTTTTGCTTTGGATTTCCTACGGAAGCAGCCCAAGATCCCGGTTTTCCTTTGGATTTCCTATGGAAGCAGCCCAACATCCCGGTTTTCCTGTGGATTTCCTATGGAAGCAGCCCAAGATCCCGGTTTTCTTTTGGATTTCCTACGGAGGTTTTCCTTTGGATTTCCTATGGAAGCACTCCAAGATCCCGGTTTTCCTTTGGATTTCGTATGGAAGCAACCCAAAATCCCGGTTTCTCTTCCGTCTGACGTGCTGCTGTGGGTGCCCTGGTGGCGCGCTGTCCAGGAGCGCGAAAAGAGTATAAACTTTTGTCACTCTTCTGTCCTGCCTGCCGCTGGGTGTTCCGGTGGCCGGCCGCGGTCCAGGAGCGCGAAATGATATTCAGTTTTTATTTTTTATTTTGTTTTGCATGCTGTTGTGGGTGCTCCTGTGACCACGTGGTCTAGAAGCGCGGAATTCACATAACTTGTGTTTTTAACGAGTCTGGTGTAGATTGCGGGGCATCGCGGCCTCGGGGTCGCGAATCTGGTCTGGCGAAATGTCGATGGACTGTGGCGTCGGGAGCTCGAATCTGGCGTAATTTGCGAGGGATCGTGGGGTGGGGAGCGCGAGTCTGGCGTAATTTGCAAGGGATCGTGGCCGCGGGAGCGCGTGCCTGGTATAATTGAAGGGGGAGGGCGGCCTCGGGAGCGCGAGCCCGACATGATTTACGATTGACTGTGGCCTCGGGAGCGCGAGTCTGGCCTAATTCACGATAGGTTGCGGCCTAGGGGCCTCGCGCGCTCAGCAACAAGTCACAATTAGAAACTGGAGTGGCTGCGGCAAAGCTTGGCCCTCGCAGCTTGGTGGCCCCACAAGGGGGCCGGCAGGTTCCCCCCCCTTGGGCGCGGCGAACCGTGCCTTGTGTGGATGTTTTGATTGTCTCCCCAGCAGCCCTTGGAGGCTGGAGGCCTCCTCATGTTTTTTTTCTCCGTAGCATTTTTTGTTTCGGCTCCAATAGTTCCGGCACGGTCACTCTGGCCCGGCAGCACACGCGCGAGAGCCACGCAGACATGTCGGAGCAGGAGTTCGCGGTGAGGGTGAACGACCAGTTGAAGTCCACGGAGTTGAGGCTGTGCGGCGCGCTCGGCAGGGACAAGAGGCATGGAGCTCACATGCGGGCTTTCTGGGCCTCGACAGTATCTTTCTTCGTGGCGTTCGTGGGTTGGTTCGCCCTGAGCCCGATCGCTATCGAGGTGGTCCACAGCATCGACGCTTGCGAAAACCAGCTCTTCCCACCGGTTGCGAACCCAGAGAGGAAAGCATTCTTGAAGTTCAAGGCGATCGCGTCGGGGAAGAAGTATTGCCAGCATGGGAAGATCGGAGAGGATAACGATCCGACTGGGTGCCAGGATGTGCCGCAGGACGTTTGGGACGAGAGTTGTGGCGGCGTGGCGGCCACCGCGTGCACGCAGAGCGAGACGCTCACGGACGACGTCGATCTGTGCCCCGAGGCGTGCATGAAATATCCAGCTGCCTGCGGTGAGTCCCGCCACCGTGCCAGCCCAGCATTTTCATTTTCGGTGGCAGCTGTTCGAATCGATGATGATGATGATGATGATGATGATGATGATGATGATGATGATGATGATGATGATGATGATGATGATGGTGATGGTGATGGTGATGGTGATGGTGATGATGGTGATGATGATGATGATGATGATGATAATGACGACGACGACGAACCTGATGACGATTGTGATGATGAGCATGATTATTTCCATGAGAGGCTGAGGAGGATGATGGGGAGGCGGAGGAGGAGGAGGAGGAGAAGGAGGAGGAGGATTGTGGCGGACGCGGGGGACGAAAAAACATGATGCCGATGGTGATGATGATGATGATGCTGATGATGATGGTGATGTTGATGCTGATGATGACGACGATGATGATGATGCTGATGCTTATGCTGGTGATGATGACGACGATTACGATGACGATGACGATGCTGATGGTGACGACGACGACTACGACGACGATGATGATGATGATGATGATGATGATGATGATGATGATGATGATGATGATGATGATGACCATGGCGACGATGACGATGACGAAGACGATGGTGCTGATGATGATGATGATGGTGATGGTTATGGTGATGGTGGTGGTGGTGACCATGGTCATGAGGAGGACGAGGACGAGGACGGTGGTGATGAGGAGGAGGAGGACGACGACGACGACGACGAAGAGGAAAGCCGTCACATGCGGCACCTTTCGTCTTCGTTCCTGCAGGGCCCACATGGACCTCGTTTGGTCATCTTTGGGCTGTCCTGAGCTCCTGAGAGGCAGTCTTGGGGGAACCTTGCGGCCGTCTTGGGCCGTCTTGAGGCCCGCCCTCTTGGGCCGTATTCGGCCGTCCAGGGGGTCCTCTCAGGCCGGCTTGGGTCCCTCCGGAAGCACTTCAGGGCCAGCTTGAGGCCCTCTTGGGTCCGTCCTGGGCTCTCCAGGGGCCCTCTTGGGCTGTCTTAAGGCCGTCTTGGAGGCCTCTTGGGCTACCTTGAGGCCCTCTTGGGCCGTCGTGGGGCCAACTTGGAGAGCTCTTGGGTCGTCTTGAGCCGACGGAAGCGCAAAGGCAAGAATGCGAAAATCGTGCAACAACTTATTATATTCGACGTGGAGATCCCCATATGTACACCTCTTTGTCTCGCGATGTCCGACGGTGTCCGACCATCTTGGGCCATCTTGGGGTTATCTTGGACCATCTTGGAGGCATCTTGGGCCATCTTGGCGGCCCTGGTGGCCTCCCAGGTCCGTATGGGAAGCCATCTTGGGCATCTTGGACGCCATGAAGAGCGCCAAGGAGGCGTCATGGCCGCCCAGAGAGCCTCGGGAGAGGGGGCGATGCATGCAATTGGGCGCGTCGAGCGGGGGGGGGGCCTTAGAAGATTACAGAAACCCTGCCAGACAGCACTTGGCATTCTAGCACGTCTCGACGTGTCAGGGGGCACGGTGGCGGATAATTTCGAAGTCCTCCCTAAGTGCGTTTGCAGCCCGGGCACGCACTGCGGTTCGACGATCCTGTATTCAAGCATCACCTCGGTCGGCATCACGATCTTTGTGCGCGTGGCGCTCGGCACCCTCCTCGAGAGGTTCGGCCCGGTCAATGTGCAGTCTGGCCTCCTGCTCTTCGGAGCCATCTGGGTCTTCGCCGCGGCGGGCATCTCGGCAGAGTGGAACTTCATCCTCATTCAAGGGGCTTACGCCGTTCCACCGACCCGCAGAAGAGGAAAGAAATACACGGGTGAGGCTTTGTTGAGCTCTTGGGGGCCGTTTGCGGGACTCTGAGGGCCTTATGTGGGTCTTTTAGAAGCATCCTGAGTCATCTCGGGGAATGGCGGGAAGCGCCTCCGGCGTGGACGTTTTTCTGAAGTAGCAATTTGCTCTCACAAAGCAACCCAAGTATCATTTGGGGGTTGGGTGGGCGACTGCATGAGCACCGTTGCCTTTGTGGCTCGAGGCTGCGGAAATTACCCACTCCAACCCACGCCTGCATCATTTTCCAAGCCTGTCTTTGGCCTGACCGAAGTGCATTGGGTCCGGGTTGGGTTGCTCCCCAGCTTGGAGCCTGGTTGTTTCGCCTTCCCTGAGACCAGGGCGCGACGTGCTTGCCGGACTGTTCGGTACCGCACGTTTCCGGCCCAGCCCAATCGGCAACACAAGAGTTGTATAGCTTCGGCATTGGGACCAATTTGGAGAGCGGCCCGAAAAATGACACGGCCGAAAATAACGGTTTTGAAGCGCAAATCCTCACCAAAACGAGAAGTTATCAGCATCGATTGTTACAAAAACGACATTTTCGCTTGAGGCATCCTCCCAAAATGCGGGTGCTGGGGGATCTGCCATACGACGACGTTCCTACAAATGAAATGATGAAGTAGTTTGCAAATATTTCGTTTCTTCGGAAATGAGGCTCTTGCTGCAGACACCCAGAAAACATGCAGCTTCGGATTAGGTGTTTTTCGATACCAATCACTTAAAGATGCAGCTCGTGCTGGTCTGCCGTGCCCCTGTGGTCTGCCGCGCTGGTCTGCCGTGTTTTGTGGTCCGCCGTGCTGGTTTGTAGTGCTGCTGTGGTCTGCCGTGCTCGTGCAGTCTGCCGCGCTAGTCTGCCGTGCTCTTGTGGTCCGCCGCGTTCGTCTGTAGAGGTGCTGTGGTTTGCCGTGCCCCTGTGGTCTGCCGCGCTGGTCTGCCGTGCTCCTCTGGTCTGCCGTGCCGGTCTGCCGTGCTCTTGTGGATTGCCGTTTTGGTTTGCCGTGCTCTTGTGGTCCGCCGTGGTTGTCTGCCGTGCTCCTGTGGTCTGCTATGCTCCTTCTCGTTCTGCCGTTCTGGTCAGCCGTGCTCCTGTGGTCTGCCGTGCTGGCCTGCCGTGCTGCTGTGGTATGCCGTGCTCGTCTGCCGCGCTGCTGCGTTGTTGGTCTACGTTTCTAAGTTTCTTTGACATTATCAACGTACGTTTTTCTGACAGGGTTCGTTGACAAATCGGCGCTTCCCGTTCTTGTCCGGTCAGGTTCCTCGAAATGAGCATTTCGTTTGAGACATGATCGCACGAACTAGATGTTCGCAACATCGTCTTTTATCAAAAAAAAACAGCTCTTCGCTTGGGACATCCTCCAAAACATGAAAGTCATGAATTTGACGAACCTTCGAAACTGAGCGTTTCGCCTGAAACATCCTTGAACAAATCGAACAATCTTTTGGGGAAGAACCAAAACCAACATCTTAAGGATCCAGCACGCCAGGCGCCCCTGTGATAAATCAACAAGGGGCGGCGGATCGAAGACGCCTACGGCGAATCACCGCCGCCCCCTGCCTTTTTGGAAGCGCCTATGTGGCCGAACGTTGAGGCCAGACCTGCCAAGCTATCGGACCACGCGTTCCCCGAATCGGTTTGGAAAGCCTTCGGGGAACACGTGGGCATCTTGAAGGTCATCTTGGCCGTCTTGGAGGCCTCTTGGGCAAACTTTGGGCGATCTTTGGGGCTTTTTGGGCCGTCTCGGGCCAGCTTCGAGCCAACTTCGGCCATCTTGGTGGGTTCCTGGCACGTCTGAAGCCGTCGGAAGCCGTTTGGGGGGCCTCTATGGGCCGACTTGGGGCCCGCTTGGAATGCTCCAGGGCCGTTTTGGAGGCCATCTTGGGCGTCTGGGAGGCCATTTTGGGCGTGTTGGAGGCCTCTCGGGCCCTCTTGGGGCCCTCTAGGGGCCATTTTGGAGGCCACTTGGGCCATCATGGGGCTCTCTTGGGGGCCTCTTGGGCGATCTTGGGGGCTTCTTGGGCCGTCTTGAGCCGTCGGAGAGCCGAAAAGGCGCAAATGCCAAAATCCTTCAAAAACCAATGGAAAATCAATGATTTTGGCCTCTTCGGACTCTCCTGGAGGACCTCTTGGAGGCCTCTTGGGCCGTCTGGGAGGCCTCTGGGGGGCCTCTTGGGCCGTCTTGGGCCGTCTTGGACTCTCTTGGGCCGTTTTGGAGGCCGTCTTGGACCATCTCGGGCGGACTTGGAGGCCATCTTGGGCCATCTTCGCGATTTTTTGAGGATGTCCCGAGCGAAACGGCCGTTTTTGGGCATTGACAGATGGATTTTGGGAAAATTGCGGGTGGCCGGCGGGACGGGCCGAAGCCCACTGGGGAGTTCTTTTAGAAAAAGAACCAAAACCAAAACCTGAATCATCCAGCACGCCGTGCACCCCTGCAAGCAGGGGGCGGCGGATCGAAGACGCCTACGGCGAATCACCGCCGCCCCCTGCCTTTTTGGAAGCGCCTATGTGGCCGAACGTTGAGGCCAGACCTGCCAAGCTATCGGACCACGTGTTCCCCGAATCGGTTTGGAAAGCCTTCGGGGAACACGTGGGCATCTTGAAGGTCATCTTGGCCGTCTTGGAGGCCTCTTGGGCAAGCTTTGGGCGATCTTTGGGGCTTTTTGGGCCGTCTCGGGCCAGCTTCGAGCCAACTTCGGCCATCTTGGTGGGTTCCTGGCACGTCTGAAGCCGTCGGAAGCCGTTTGGGGGGCCTCTATGGGCCGACTTGGGGCCCGCTTGGAATGCTCCAGGGCCGTCTTGGAGGCCATCTTGGGCGTCTTGGAGGCCATCTTGGGCGTGTTGGAGGCCTCTTGGGCCCTCTTGGGGCCCTCTAGGGGCCATCTTGGAGGCCACTTGGGCCATCATGGGGCTCTCTTGGGGGCCTCTTGGGCGATTTTGGGGGCTTCTTGGGCCGTCTTGAGCCGTCGGAGAGCCGAAAAGGCGCAAATGCCAAAATCCTTCAAAAACCAAGGGAACATCAATGATTTAGGCCTCTTCGGACTCTCCTGGAGGACCTCTTGGAGGCCTCTTGGGCCGTCTGGGAGGCCTCTGGGGGGCCTCTTGGGCCGTCTTGGGCCGTCTTGGACTCTCTTGGGCCGTTTTGGAGGCCGTCTTGGACCATCTCGGGCGGACTTGGAGGCCATCTTGGGCCATCTTCGCGATTTTTTGAGGATGTCCCGAGCGAAACGGCCGTTTTTGGGCATTGAGAGATGGGTTTTGGGCAATTCGCGGGTGGCCGGCGGGACGGGCCGAAGCCCACTGGGGAGTTCTTTTAGAAAAAGAACCAAAACCAAAACCTGAATCATCCAGCACGCCGTGCACCCCTGCAAGCAGGGGGCGGCGGATCGAAGACGCCTACGGCGAATCACCGCCGCCCCCTGCCTTTGTGGAAGCGCCTATGTGGCCGAACGTTGAGGCCAGACCTGCCAAGCCATCGGACCATGTGTTCCCCGAATCGGTTTGGAAAGCCTTCGGGGAACACGTGGGCGTCTTGATGGTCATCGTCGCCGTCTTGGAGGCCTCTTGGGCGATCTTTCGGCGATCTTTGGGGGCTCTTGGGCCGTCTCGGGCCGTCGGAAGACCGAAAAAAGGGAAATGCCCAAATCCATCAAAAACCTTAGAAAAATCAGTGATTTTGGCATTTTTTTGCCTTCCTGGAGGCCCTCTTGGGGGCCTCTTGGGCCCTTTTGGGCCAGCTTCGAGCCAACTTCGGCCATCTTGGTGGGTTCCTGGCACGTCTGACGCCGTCGGGAGCCGTTTTGGGGGCCTTTCTGGGCCAACGGGGACCCTCTTGGGCGCTCCAGGGCCGTCTTGGAGGCCATCTTGGGCGTCTTGGAGGCCATCTTGGGCGTGTTGGAGGCCTCTTGGGCCCTCTTGGGGCCCTCTAGGGGCCATCTTGGAGGCCACTTGGGCCATCATGGGGCTCTCTTGGGGGCCTCTTGGGCGATCTTGGGGGCTTCTTGGGCCGTCTTGAGCCGTCGGAGAGCCGAAAAGGCGCAAATGCCAAAATCCTTCAAAAACCAAGGGAAAATCAATGATTTTGGCCTCTTCGGACTCTCCTGGAGGACCTCTTGGAGGCCTCTTGGGCCGTCTGGGAGGCCTCTGGGGGGCCTCTTGGGCCGTCTTGGGCCGTCTTGGACTCTCTTGGGCCGTTTTGGAGGCCGTCTTGGACCATCTCGGGCGGACTTGGAGGCCATCTTGGGCCATCTTCGCGATTGTTTGAGGATGTCCCGAGCGAAACGGCCGTTTTTTGGAGGATTTTTTGCGGTCGTTGAGCACGTTTGGGGATTTTCCGGGTGGCCGGCGGGTTCTGCCGGAGCCCACTGGGGAGTTCTTTTGGAAAAAGAACCAAAACCAAAACCTAACAGCTCAGCACGCCGTGCACCCCTGCAAGCAGGGGGCGGCGGATCGAAGACGCCTACGGCGAATCACCGCCGCCCCCTGCCTTTGTGGAAGCGCCTATGTGGCCGAACGTTGAGGCCAGACCTGCCAAGCCATCGGACCATGTGTTCCCCGAATCGGTTTGGAAAGCCTTCGGGGAACACGTGGGCGTCTTGATGGTCATCGTCGCCGTCTTGGAGGCCTCTTGGGCGATCTTTCGGCGATCTTTGGGGGCTCTTGGGCCGTCTCGGGCCGTCGGAAGGCCGAAAGAAGGGAAATGCCCAAATCCATCAAAAACCTTGGGAAAATCAGTGATTTTGGCATCTTTTGGCCTTCCTGGAGGCCCTCTTGGGGGCCTCTTGGGCCCTTTTGGGCCAGCTTCGAGCCAACTTCGGCCATCTTGGTGGGTTCCTGGCACGTCTGACGCCGTCGGGAGCCGTTTTGGGGGCCTTTCTGGGCCAACGGGGGACCCTCTTGGGGCGCTCCAGGGCCGTCTTGGAGGCCATCTTGGGCGTCTTGG